AGGAGACAGTTTTGTTCAGTTTTAGCATTACATTCGCACTTTTGTAGCACTATTGTGTCGCTGAGGAGGAGGGGGGAAGGGAGAGGGGAAAGTGGGGAAGACCCTCCTCCTGGATTCGCCTCTTGCAGGTAGGCTAGATATATTTCAATGATGCATTTAATAAAAATGTCGTAATCAATAAAACCCTAGTCATCAGACAGTGCAGCTCCTGCAAAAACAACCGCAAAAAAGGTCATAAAAAATCAACAGTGACGAAGGAGCATGCTACGACAAAAAAGCTGCCCATCAAAGCTAAAAAGTAGTTCCGTCTTTTTTTTAATAATTAAAAAATAAAGGATTTTTCTGGTAAACTCATGATATTTCTCATGATAACAGACGCAAACTCATGATATTTCATTAAAAAAATGGAAAACTAACAGTGTGGCTATTGCGTTCCTGCTCTTTCTTGTTGGCACCATTTTCAGCATGGCGTACAACTTGCTTTTCTTCCACACCCATGAAATCGCTGACTGCGATTTTTGCTTCTGTTTTCGTAGTACCATTTTTACCAACACGATTTTTCTCGCCCGATTCCGGGAAATGCGACAGAATATGTTCCTGGCACTCGTTGCGCGAAAAGAATCGAATATTGCACCCGCTAAACAAGCATAAGTACCGCTTTTTCCACCTCATTAGTGTACCTAAAAAATACCAAATAAAACAACAACGAACGCCATCATTACAGCCTTTCTTGTCTAAAAAAACTATATAAAATAACTAGAAACGTTTGTCTTCTAAATTTTCCCGTCTTCTAATCTCCCTAAGCTGAAATGCAAATCACGTACGCTAGATTTTTCAAACATGTAGCCCCATATGAAAAGATCGCTTGCCCCATATGAAAAGACCGCTTCGTGAATGGAAGAGATAATGATAGCGATATCACCATTCCGGGTAAATTCAGCCAAGAATTCTGGGTAAATTCAGTCAAAAAATTTGGTCGCATCATTTAATATCTCATCCCTCAGAAACAACTTGTGCAAAAAAAAAAAATAAGTCGCAATTCGTCGGGCACTGTAACCTATGGTTATTGAGGGTGATTCGACGAGAAACGAGCCTGTATTCCGGTACGTGGAGGAAAAATGCAGGCTGTTTCATGGTTCCTTGCAGTTCGTTAAAATTCGTTCATTCTAGTAATAAACCCAGTACGGAAGAGACGATTTTTTGGAAAAAAAAAATCGGTAGAACGTAAAATGGCAATAATACTTTTCAGCGCAACAAAACAGACCTACTGGCCACCCGGTGTTCAGCACTATTTGGTGGAACTCACTAGCTTGTCCTCCCAAATTATGCGCTCTTTTCTTTCAGTTTATCGCAAGTGCAGCGTTCTTTGTCCAATTATTCGCGAATTAGAAGTTTTCGCATTATTCCCCTCCTTTAGTTTTTATGCGTTTTTTGCAGCTATGCAATGCAAAAAACGCATATTGACGAGAGGTTGTCTG